ACAAAGTGGACAACACCTGCTAAGTGTGATGTTAACACAAACTTGGAAGTAAAGGCTGAAACATAGGTATTTGCCTTTTTGCTACAATTTCCAATTCAATACTGCTGTAATATTTGGATGATTATCCAATTATTCCTACTTGTGTGCTACAATATTAAAATGAATGTTAAGGGTTACATTTCAATTTCAGTATGTACCTATTAGTAACATTTCAAAATACAGCACCTCACCTCTCAAGTCAGAACAACTGAAACAGAGGTAACAGCAGGCTAATTCAACAAGCTAAAACTATTCACCACCAAAAATATAAACACTTATTTTAGCATAAGGGCAAGTTTTGTCAAGTTAATCCTTTTTAAGTAAGACATGATTACCCAAATACACCAACTCTAAGAAGGAAATGTTAAAAAGGAAGAAAGAGAAAATAGAGAGGGAAACCTAGGGATGGATGCTGCCTGCCAATGAAAGTCATTTTCAAAGACCATTAACTATCAACTGCTTTACTCATGGATCTGATTAAGTAAGACTATTCATCCTATGTTTAAAAGGATGTGTAGTTTTGAGGGAGAAGCTTTGGAATAAAAATATATTGAACCAAGGCACAGCACATAGTTTAGACACTGGACTGGACTTATGAGAAATGCTGCCTGTGAATCTGTAAAATTGTTAGTGATGTCCAAATTATTTTTGGCAGGTTAGAAGACAGGGAAAAAAAAAACCCAGCGTTTTCATTTTAAATAAAATCCTATGACTGAAACTGTGTTTGTCCTCACGAATTGAAAGTAGTAAAAAGCTGCTAGAAGAAAAATTTGTATAGAGCATGCTTGTAAGTGGAAAATGTCTTATATATTTCATATACATTTTTAATCATTTCTCAGAGAAGTGCTAGGTTTTATACTAGTCAAAAAGTTTACTTTATCATATCTCTGGCGAGCAGACAGTCTGATATTAATGTAAATCACTGATTTAATTTTTAGCTTTCTCGATTTTGTCCCTCACCTATCTAGAAAATGATTTCTCTGGTGATAACTAACACATCATGCTAATGAGAGACTCTAATGCACAACAGAAAAATGTCACTACTAATAATATTTGCATGAAGTTAAATAAAGCAACTGTATGAGAATGTCAGACAGTTGTTCTTTAATAAGACACAGTTTCACAATGAAATTAGGTTGTTAATTTTGTTACATCACTGGGTGAATCCTAAATTACTCCTTAATGATGCATAGAGTCATCTATAATTCTAACTTAGGATTTCACTCTACTCCGAAAAGAGATGTTATTGAGGGATCAACATTTTATTTGAAACAGGTTAAAAAATAAAAGGTATAAACAGTTCTGGTAATATGTGAAAAGCACACTAACACCTTAACCTGCCTAGTCTCATTTCTTAAAAAAGATTTCAAATAGACCAAACCGTACCTTCTCTTGGGGTAAGCTATACAGATTTTACTTGCTATGTTCTCAAATATACGGACCTGCACACACTATGGCGAAAATCACCTTTTAAAGTCTTATTAAAAAAAAAAAAAAAACTTCCAAAAGCAAGCTCTTTTCTCTACTACCACCTCCCCATTCTCTTTTTAACAATACCTTATCAGTCTATACTGAGCAAAATAAGGTTTGGAACTATAGAAGATAAGGAAAAAGAGAAAATAGTTTTTGGACATTATCAATTTGTAACTGATCAAACTGAATCCAGAACTCTCAGTTACAAAAGTCAACAGTTACATCTTCCAGTGCTCTCAAATGTCTCTCTACAAGAAAACATTCTTTTCTTAAAAAAAAAAAAAATCACAGTTCATTGTTAGAGAAAATAATATAAAGTAGGGAAATGAAGTCAAGAAGTCATGTTTAAAGCTTTAAGGAGAACACTTAATTCTGGTGAGTCGGAGTCTTTGGACCATTAAACCATGTGTTAAAATTAGATAAAAGGAAAGATTTACATTTAAGAAAACGTAACTTCATTCAGGGGAAATACAAGATACAGACTGTTCTATCCTCCTTCCTAGCTTACCTTTAGAAGACACAGACCTAGTTTACTGAACACCCCCAAGCACACATGTTCTCTGTAGCTTACACCATATGTGGCGAGTTCTCGACAGCTCGGTCTTTAAACATCTTAAACTCCTCTACTAGGCAGTCTTGTCCAATGCTCATAGACGTACTCAAGGAAACATTAGGTTTTATTCTACTGTGAAAAACTGTCTCTAATAGATTTTATTCAGTTCATGAGATGAATTTTTACTTAGAAATGAAAATAATCACCCAGATAAGCCTTTTTTATCCTAAAAAATAGATATATAGAATTCTGCACAGCTGGTTAAATTAGAAAAACTTTTATCTTTAGCAAAAGCTGGATATTAAATGTGAATATTAAACTTAATATGAATATTAAAACTATTACTCCTCAAAATTGTTGACTTTAAGAGATAGCATTTCAGGAAATGCTATACACATACACACACACACACACACACACACACACATACACTCTCTCTCTCTCTCTCTCTCTCTCTCTCTCTGTGAACCACCACGCTGATCTACCACACACAGGAACAACAAACACTTTAAACATTCACAGCACACAGACTTTTATATTTAGACAGAATTTGAATTTAAGCTTACACAATCTTAAAAGCCATCTTGAGAGAGAAAGAAAAGCACATACCCACATGTAAAATTCACACCCTCTTTTACATGACTTCCAAAATGCACAGAAGCTAAACATTTAGTAATTGTGAAAGTAAAGGGAAGGCTACGTATCACTAACTACACCAAAACAACAAATCATAGTACAGCAAAATATTTCCATCATAATATTCTTGAATTGTGATTTTCGCCCTTTGTTGTAGCATTCTGTTTAAGGAGGCACCATGAAGCAGCAATGCTTTCCTGTGTCTTTAGTCTCTTCACAGTCCCTGGTGCTCACTATAAGCATGCATTCATACAGGTACACACAAAACAGATCTTTGTGGTGGCCACGAACAGCTCCACATGAAACACCGTGATAGGCTGATCATACAAGTTTCTCTATGAGAAATTTTAATTATTTTCCTAATTCTGACCTATTTTTTTGTGTAATTTGCTTTTTTTTAAAAAAAAAAAAATCTTAAATGTTTTCCACCACTTAAAGTCTTCTTAGATGCAAATCTACTTGGAAATGGGCTAGTGCCAAAGAAGCAATCTAACACCATCTATGTGGTTCAATAGCCATTTATCAATTGATCATTATCTCTATCTGTTTTATTAACTGTTTTTTCACTAGGGAGAAATACCTAAAGCAATCTAACCTTTCAAGGCAGGCATGTGCATACACACTCCACTAAACTCAAGGAAAACCCTGATGGGTGACGCCTCAATCTTAAAGTGGGGCACACGTTATCAGGGTCTAACGTTAGTGATGCTCCAAGCCCGGGAGAGCCACCCAGACAGAGGAGTGCTCCAGAAAAACACCTCACAAAGCACACCACAGATGTCACGCAGCTCTCTGTCACAGCAGAAACGAACTTTCCACAAGAAGAATGGGGCTGCACAGAAAGAGTTGCTTGCTGGGTTTATGTTGATTGCATTTAAATCCCAGCTTACTGTATCAGCAGTTATCAGGGTCCCTCTACAGGATGTCAAAGTATACCTTATTCCGATACATTTCTCCTACCTAAAACTGGTTGATAAAACTGTTTACCAATTAAATGCTACAAGAGCCGGGCTACATGCACTGTCTTTGGCAAATGTTTATTTCTAAACTTGTGACAGTTTACAGCTTTGCAAATTGTTTTTCTTTACTTCATTACCAAACATTTTAAAATCTACCCGAAAGTATTCAATTTCCGCAAACTCTTACATACAAAAGATTTCTATTAGGCAGCAGTTGCAGTATTTTTTTTTTTTTTTAAAGAATGTTGCAAGACGGATCTTTAAACAGCCTCCATCTAACTTAACATCCCAGTACATTTGTCAGCACTACTTCGGTGCTGCGTGGATGATAAACTAACTCTTGCTTTGTATGGGTTTGGGGTAGGCTTCTGAAAAGCAAGACGTGTCTAGGAGGGAGGCACCAGGGAACTTCCCTCCCTCACTTGAGCACAGTCCAAGAGGAAAGTTTCTGGGTTGTTTCCCCTTCGCTTCCTCTCACCCTCGCTCCCCCGCGGAGCCGCAGAGCCAGCAATTGTGCAAGAGGAGCCGGGCGCGCAAGGCGCGAATCACCGAGCGCTTGGTACGGGCGGCCGCGGGTGATTAATTATCCGTCCGCTGGCCCGGCGCTCCCGGGGCGGCTCTCCGGGCAAGGCGGCAGCCGAGCCGCGGGCGGCGGCGGAGCGAGGAGCGGCTCCGGGAGGACGCAGGGGCCGCGCCGAGTGTGAGTGCACCGCGGCGGGCGGCGGACGCACGGCGGAGCGGGCGGGCGGGCGCGAGCCGAGCGGGCTGCGCGGCGGCCGGGGGAGCGCAGGGAGAGCGGAGCCGCGGGAGCCGAGGCCGAGCGCAGCGCAGCCTGCCGCCCTCTGGGCCGCCCCGGCCGAAGCCTGCACAGCCCCGCGCAGGGCCGAGGCCGGCTGCTCCAGACAACCAGAGTCAGACCCGCCGCTGTGAGGGGCCCGCGTTTTATGACTGTTCGGTTGCAAGACCTACTTCAAGACAGCGGACACTTTGACCAAGTCCTTTCACACAGTCAGAGAGAGAACATTTGTCGAGTAGTGGCTTTTTCTCTTTTTAACGGGAAACAAAGAAATAAATTAAGGCTTCGCAGGACCCAGGCTGCACACTGTGAAACTTTGCAACAAATGCCTTCGCTTTCTCTAACTTCAGTGTCCTTTCCCCCCTTTTCCTTTAAGGAGCCCTTGGGGGGAAGCCATGAAGTAACACTGCACATTCCAGTAACACAGTTATGACAAAATAGATTTTTTTTTTTTAATTTCAAAATCATTTAGAAGGAAAAGTAGCAGGGGGAAAAGGGCACATAACAACTCGAGATTTCTTTAAAAAAATAGAAAGTAACTTACCTGTTGGGACATTCTGAATAAGAGGTTAGTATCAGCGTTTTGCCATGTCCCCATGAACCCTGGCTCAGCCGCAGTCGTTCTGGTTCCGAACTGCATGGAGTTGTCAGTACAGGAGTCTCTTAAAGTCAAGTCTCTCGCCCTCTT